CCGCCGCTCTTTTTCACCGAGGTCGCGCTTTCGTTTCAATTTTTATCGCGCCACTGCTTTTCCGAAAGTCGAGCATCGAGTCGCGTCGCGGCGCGTGTACGTACAGCGCGATAAGGTGCCTCATCGACGTACGCGTCGCGCAGCTTCCTCGGAGGATTCGAGCCGGAGAGAAATGACGCAAACGTTGCCCCGACGTGTAATAAATACGTCCACGACGTTAAAATAGTAGAACATGCTTCGGTGGGTAACCGGAGGAAGACGTTTGACATCCGGTGGCTGTTAAAAAGCAACTCGTGGGAAATTTGTTCACGATCGCGAGTGGTTTATATCAACCGCTAGACGTGCGATGCTCCGCTATTCGAGCGACATACATCACTTTTATCGCGAGATTCCACCGGTCCGATATGCTTATTAATAGACACCCGGCACTCTTAGAGCTCGCCCGAAAAATATGGCACTTAAACGAAAGAATCCTTGTTAGGGGGAAAAGAAGAGAGGGAGAGGATCGAGATAGAGGAGACGAGAGAAAGCGGAAGAGGGCGCGAAATGAAAAGGTCGATCGAGACGCACTTCGGTGAGCCCGACTATCTTGCCCCGCCATGGTAAATGCATTCGTTCCGATCGATAGGGAAATAAATCAAACGTTAATAAATCAACTTTAACATTCCGAGCATCTCGTTTTATAGCCGTTATGCTCGCTCGATAAAAAGAAATCGAGACGGAATCGCGGCAAATATCGTCCCCGATAGAGCGGGCGAAATTGCCGATTGATCAAATTTGCTCGATAAGCGCGACCTTTTGTCTATCGCTCTCCTCCTCTATCGCGTCGGTAAACTCCACGTCCACGCGGCTAATGTTCCCCCCTTTTTTCCACCCAAATCCGACTATCCCACAGCGAATGTAAATCCCGACAAAACAATTAATGCGGCCGACGAAACGTTCGCAGAGGGGTAGAAGAGAACATGAGAGTGAGAGAGAGACTTCTTGCACGCTCATCGACGTTTCCCCCAAAGGGTAACCGGGAAAATTCTCTGGTCGAATGCACGCTCGACGGCCTGGAAATTTGCAGGCTGAAAAGAAACATCGGAACGCCATGGTTCACGGCAAAAAGGTGACGTTACGGAAGGCACAGCGGTTCCTCGTTAAAGAAAAGTTTCGGATACACTGGCGGAACGGTAGTCGGATTCTGCGATGGTAAGAAAGGCTGGAAAAGCGAAACGAAACGCAAAAGCGAAAGAAAAAACGAGCATAGAGAGAACCGAGGAGTTTCGGGGCTCTTGAAGACCCGCGGAAATTGGGTCGGGGAGGAGAACTAAAAATCGAGCCATAACTCGGTGAATAATTAATTTAGAATTAACAGGCGCCGTGTAATTCGTGGAATTCCGTGGAAAATGAATCTGCGACGGGAAAGTCTTTTCTCGCGATCGTCGCGAGCCTTCGCGAAAATCGTTATTCGACGACTTCGAAGATCGGGTACCTTTTGCACGAGTAGAGAAATTTTTCGAGAATAATCGGGACGGCGTCCTCGAGTCGCGTGGAAAGTCGATGAGAAAGGGGAAACATTGCCAACGCGAATTCGTGAACGAGGAATGAAGAGTGCAGGGAAAAGTAACGCAACGAGGGACACACGGGAAAGTGGAAACGGGCGATTTTCAGACTAGCGTTCAGAGAACGTTTAAGCGGAGTCGAAACCGAAGTCCAGGTGGATATTTCACCGGGTAAATCTGGGTGACACGGATTAAAAGCTATATTATCGTTTCTTCGGCGCGACGGCGAGCGTGCGCGATAAAAAAAGGAAAATATGGCCGGAAACGGGTATTGCGAGACGATAAAGAGAGATTCACGATCGCTTTCGCTCGATGGCTGGACATTAAGAAAAGCATGAACGGGGAGTAGGTCGAAGACCTTTTAACGAAGGTATAGGTAGGGAGTAAGGAACGAAGCACGAGGGAAAAGGGACCTCAGGAAACTAATTTTCGCGATATTAGTCTTACGAAATTGGTTATTGATGTTCCATTCGTCCGCCGATAATGGCGGACGGAAGCGATTCTCCGGTGAAAGGTCGTAAGTCCAGGAAGGTCGAGCATCCCCGGGTCGCACCACCCTTGCTCCATCGTTCGTCCTTCTTAAAGGAATTGCTTCCTTAACGGGCGTTAAATCGACTTTCCCGACCGGTCTTCCTGGCTTTGCGATTGACAAATATTTCGTGGTCGTCTTCTCCTTCCAACCCTCGTGTTACACCCCTTGCCTGCCTCGCCCTCTCTCCACGCCTGTCTCTTTTTTCCTTACCCTTTTTCCCCGGAATCTTGCTCGAGGTACTACGCTACCTTCTGCTTCCACCTGGACGAACGCTCTCGCTTGGCCTTCTGGCGTTTCGCCAACAATCCGTACTACTCCTAGCTAGCCAAGAATGCCCGAGGAAAGGAACCGAGGAATCGATAGATCCGTCCGACGACTGTCCACGACGAAACAACGTTTTCCTTTCTACGTCGCTCGGAGATTATCTCCGCTCTCATTCGCGATTCCCTCGACGAGCCCGGCCAATGTCTCCACCCTCCCGAGAACGCTCGATCCGACGATGAGGAATTCCTTTGGAGAATAAGACGTACAGCCGAACGTACAGGGGGTTACAACCACCGATAAAACTCGCGCAGGAGGATCGACATGAAATTTCTCTGCCGATCGAACAGCACGCGGAACCCCTATGTATCAGCCGCGAGCTGTAACTTACTCGTTAGAGGATAAAACGGTGTCGCGTTTCGGGCAGACCCTAATCCGAACGATTGGACGTTCGACAATTAAGTCGACGACGTCCCGGCGCGCGTACGACTTGCGGTAATACCGTAAATCGGGAATAATTGGAAATTTCCAGTACGTCCTTCGTTATCGATTTCCATCTCGTCACAATCGCTCCGAATCGACCGAAATTCCCCGGAACCGTCGATCGTCCGGACTCTCGGCGAGTACTCGCGCGAAGACGGCAGCGAAAGAATTCGGACCAGGACGATCAAGAGATATTCCAAGGAGAATTTGCCACAGACCGGGACATTGTTCGCGAATGAGACCACCCTGTCGTTGAAAGTTTAATCACATCGTCGCAGTCTGCGCGACTCCCCGGCAAATTAAGCCTCCGCGTTAAGTACTACTGACCCTCTTTCCGAGTTTCAAACTTGCGTCGTGTTATGAATCGAGCGAAAAGGGTGGGCGGCGAATAATTTACGCTGTATGTGGAACTATCGGCACACGAAACTCGTCGATAAGTTCGACGGTGAACCAGGTACTTTGGAAAACGCCGGTGCCTTTAGTCTCCCCTTTTCGGCCAAAGTAAACTCGCGGTAAGTCACTTGTCTGCAAACACGCTCGAAACTGCCGTGCCTTCCCTTCGTGGCCAAAGATGGACACAGCGTGGCGCAAGGTAAATGTCCCGGAGGGGGGAAAAAATAGGTGGAAATGGGGAAAAACAAGGCAGCGAAAGGACAAATTAAGTTATCCCGGTTTCTTGCACACGAGCCATTAGCATCGCTTTATTTACAATGCGCGCGATAAACGCGCAATACCTCAAGGCGAGAGTCATATCTCGTCGGGGATGATTAATCGACGGGGTAGTTTGGCGGACGTGCGGTAAGAACAGGGGCGTAATCACGACTGCAATCCGGATCGTCAGGCGATAAAGAGAGAGTAAGAAAGCGTCGCGCGTGTGTGCACGCGTGTTGCAGAAGACAGAGAAAGAGGAAAGGGATCGAAGGCCATGAAAAACGCGATAGTGCCAGCGCGGACCGATGTCAGGCGGCGAGTTTGAA